TGGCAGTCCTCCTGTCTCAGCCTCCCAGGTGCTGGAAGTACAGGCATGCACCACCACACTCCACTTTTTTTCTTTTTTAAATCTATTTGGTACAGGGTCTCACTCTGCAGCTCGGACTTGTACTGATCCTCCTGTTTTCAGCCTCCCCATTGCTGGGATTACAGGTGTGTGCCACCACACCTGGGCTCAGGGCCTGGCTCAGTGTGCCTGAGGGTGGGGACACCGTGGCATGTGGTGCCAAGCATTAAACCTGGGCCCTGCACTTGCCTAGGCAGGTGCTTAGTCCGCTGAGCTATCTCACAGGCCCTTCTTTTTTGTTTCCTTGAGACAGAATTTCACTATGTAATACAGTTCAAGCTGGCCTTGAATTCATGGTGTGTGCCACCACACCTGGGTGGTTTTTTTTTTTTTTTTTTTTTTTTTTTTTTTTTTTGATTTTTTTATGTATTTAGGACAGAGTCTACAGGGTCTCACTACACAGATCGAACTTGTAGTGATCCTTCTGTTTTCAGCCTCCCAAGCATGGGATTGCAGGTGCATGCCACCATGCCCAGTCTCAACCCTCCTCTCAGCATGCCCCGGGGGTGGGGCAGGTAGAGCATGCTGGGGAATCAAACCCTGGCTGCTGCGCTCTGCCTAAGCAGGCACTTTAGTCTGCTGAGCTATCTGACCAGCCCTTGTTTTTGTTTTTGTTGAGATAGGGTATCACTATGTCATTCAGGTTGCCCTCCAACTCACAGCAATCCTCCTGCCTCAGCCTCCCAGGTGAGTGCTGGGCTTACAAGGAAGAACCACTATGCCTCACTGCCCCACTGTTTCTAATGCAAATACTTAAAAGCACTTAGTAAACTGGACTTGGTCCATAGTTTGGACCTTAGAATAGCGGAGCCTGAACTCCAACCCCATGAGTCTGTGGACAGGCAAAGGCTCTGCAAGGACCATAGTTGTCTCTGGAGAGGGAGCCTGGCTGTGGGTGCATCTCAACTAAGGGACATACGTGATCAGTGCCCCAACAGGCTTATCCCTGTGGGCAGGAGGCCTGTCCCACTCCTGAGCATCTACCACTTCCTAGATTCTTGTCCTGGCTCTGCACGGCTATGCTGAGATACACAATGGGCAGACCTTGTCCGCTCTCAGAACCTTGAGTTTCCCATAAATGGAGGCTGTGACTATAGGCAGCAGGCAGGAACCTTTGAGGGCTCCAGGCTGCGATAAGGGCCTAGGCAAGGCACCTCGGGGTACCCCTTGGGGTAGGGGCCTTTGCATTGCAGACCCAGGTTCTGGGGGCCTCTGGGGTTTTCTAATAAACCCCAGAGGCCCCCAGAACTTACATAAGTTCATCTTCATGATGTCCCTGAAAGTAAGAGAAAGAGGAGTCACCCTATTCCCATTTTCTGGGTGGGGAAACCAGGGACTAGCTCCCCATCCCCACCCCCCAAGTGGGGAATGCAGGCAGCCTGTGGGACCAGGAACACTGCTGTGCCTCAACCCAGATGGCAAGCAGGTGGTACTGCAGCCTGGAGAGGGTGCTCCAGAAAGGATGGACTCCGGGCAGAGGGTAGTAAGAGAGTCCAAAAAATGGCAAGGCCTGAAGACCGGGCAGACTTCGCCCTCCCTTAGTCCCTAGGGTCGATACTTTCTTACACTAGAGTAGTCTTTCCAGCAAATGTAAAGAACCAAGAAGAGCTCTAGTGGTATTTATAATTAGGAGCCAACACATCCACAGTGGGATATTTAGTTTCAAAATTCAGTTTCTGAGGGGCTGGGGAGATAGCTCAGTAGAATAAGTGCTTGCCTGGCAAGCGCAAGAGCCTGAGTTCAATCCTCAGTTCCGCAAAAAAAAAAAGCTTTTTTTTTTTTTTAGAGGTCCACAGGTGTAGTGGTGTGAGCAGTCCAGGCTGGAACTGAGGGTGGGCTGCTTCTCTGCCTGTGCAACCTGCCTGGGCCAACAGGCAATTCTTGTCTATGTTGGCTCTTATAGGCATTGAAAAATACTAGCTCTCCCTCTACTTTCAGGTCAAAGCTAATGCTGCCCTTCAGTAATTTGTGATCCCACAAGCAGGCCTCGCGTTTTGGTAAGATGCTGGGATCCAGAAGATAGGAAGCCCAAGCCAGAGAGGGGCTCTAACAGTGACTCCAAAACAAGGGCACTGGTTCCTGGAAAGGGGCAGCAAAGGGGAGGCAGGGGAGCCATGGGTCTCACCATCCACCACCTCTGGACATCGGGAGGGAGATCCATGTTCTCGCGCGTCCAGACGGGGGAGATGTTGTTGTCAAAGTGGCTGTCAAACCAATCGGAGGCGCCGGCGTCACCCATGCAGCGGCGGCAAGCACAGCTCTTGCCTGAGAGCCCCTCCTTGCTGAGGCGCTGCAGGCCAGCGTAGCCAGGCACCAGCTTCACCCGGTGAGTCCCGTCCAGGGCCCCAGAGTCCATGTAGGGCAAGGTGGTCATGCTATGGTGCGAGTAGGTGAAGAGCAGGGACATGATGAACACCAGCAGGAAGGCCACTGAGAGGAACCACACCCGCAGGGAGCACTTCATGGCGCTGGCGGGCAGGTGGCTGTCACCGTGGCCACTCCTTTCCCAGGCCACCAAGCGGCTGGCCACGGTGCAGCCTGCCTGTTCGGACAGTATGTGCAAAGGGCATAGGGGCGTGTGCTCTGGCAGGGGACCCTTGCCAGCCGTCTCTCCCTCAGTGTAAGGAGAAGGCTCACCGGCAGGAGTGGCTCACTTATCCCTGAGCCACTGTGGCCCCTGCCTAGGGCTTCATCAGGTTCCTTTGTCACTAGCTGGGCCACAGGGTCTCTGCCTTTCCTGCCACCCTAGCAATGGGGAGGTCAGTCCGTGCTAGCCCTTTAGTCCCTTGGGATCGCTGGCTGCCAGCTCCAGAGGTTCCCCTCTTTGGTGGCTTGAACAGGTCCAGTCTGGAGCAGTCAGGGTCCTTGTGGCTCATGAGCAGACTCTGAGGCAGGCCCTCGTCCCCCCAGCAGGGAAGCCACAAGCGCTTATCACAGCAGAGCACACAGGGCAGCAGGGGGCTGCATTCCCCGCAACAACCCTTCCCACTCTTGCTGCCAAGGGAGGGGAACCAGGCTCCCCCTGTGCCAGAAGAGACCCCAGAAGGAAGCCCTGTGGGTGTCAGGAAACTGTCGCAAAGACCACGATCTCCTGGTGCTGGCTTGCGCTCCACTGCGGCCCATCCGGGTCTGTTCTCTTCGGGTGCTTGCACGCCCAGCTGCCACAGTGCAGGGGCTCACAGGGCACCTACTCCTGCTGTGGGCTCCTCTGGGACTGGGAACAGCTGCTGCTCGCGGAGGACTGCATCCAAGCCATTTGGGTCAGCAGAGTGCGTGGAGAACTTCCCACCAGGCCCCAGGCCTGCCTCCTGGAGCTGCTGGCCTGGGCTGGGTGGCTGCTCTGCCCATCCCCACGTCCCTGAGGCCAGTCTGTCCTGCTGAAGCTCGCACCAGCAGAAATCCCAACAGGTCCCCCTCACTCGTCAGGCGTCAGGCTGCCGCAGCATGACCCTGAAATTGCAGAGAGGAAAAAGAATGTGCAGAGAAATCACACACACACAAGCTCTCCCCAAGCCCTCCCCCAAGTCCCTGAGGGGACAAAGCTAGCAGAAGAGGAGACAAGGCCCACTTAATCAGAGAGTGGGTGAAAGAAAGGCTTTCCCCTCTAACTAGGCAAAGACGGCACGCTCTGCCTGACTCCCAGGCCTCAGAGGGCCGCATTAGCCCAGCATCTTCACTGATTAGCCAGAAGGTAAACAAGGACTCCAGTAAATCGATTTCCCCAGAGTCAATCCTAGTTCTGTTCCCCTAGTGTTGAAGTACTAGGTGAAGGGCAGTTTTATGTGTGTACTTTACAGTGAAACTTAAAAGAAAATGGCCCAGGTATGGTGGCACTCGCCTATAATCCCAGCATTCAGAGGCAGATGTAGGAGGATCACCACAAGTTCAAGGCAAGACCCTATCTCAAAAATGACAAGAGAAAGGGAGGGAAGAGGAGGGGGTGGGGAAGGAAAGAGGAAAAGAGAAGGGAGAGGAGGAGAAGGGAGGGCAGGGGAGAGGAGCCCAAAGAAAATCCTAGGGAACTGAATATGACTCCCCAACACAAGGTACTCATGGGCCTCCCAGTAAAAAGGAAAGGCTGGGCCCAAGTCCTGCAACTGGCCCCTCTTCTCTCCCTGGGGTGGATTATACAGGAGACATTTTGGGGTTGGCCCAAAAGCAAGTGAACCATGAACAACCCCTCCTGCCCTGGGGTGGGGAGTGGGGGGCACTTATGTTAGGAGGCACAATTGCCAGACTCAGGGTCTAGTGACAGGCCCTCTGGGCCTTCAGTTGTATCTCATGGATGAAATGAACACCAGGATCTGTGGTAGGGCTGAGACCCCATGCTGCGCTGCAGACAGGAACAAGGACACAGGGAGATGAGGCCACTTTGTAGTATTTGGGTATTAGCCTTAAGGAAAGGCACCTGAATCCATGCCTTGACAATCTCTTAAAACTTTCTCCTCTCCAAATCGGTCCACCCTAGTTCTGACCCAGCCCCTAGGCCTGGAAGCCCTGCACCTGCTCCCTCTCCTGGATGCATGCTCCAGCCAGCTTTGCTGGGGTTCACTGGCTGCCACTGCCAGCTGCACAGGTCTCCTGGGCTGTGTGTTCAAGAAATGCAGCAGCCCTCTTCATTCGTGGTAGCTCAGATTTCAGGGGCAAAGCCAAACCACAAAGCCCTTAGGGATTAGAAGCATCATGCTTCAGCAAGATCACCTGGGGGGAGGCAAATAATGCACACAGCAGAGAAACAGTTGGATTCCTGCACGTACAATTCACGACTTCAGGAGTGGTGGTGAGCTTTGAGCCTGAGTCCAGCTAACTCGAGAGCCTGGACTGGGCCAGGGCACAGAAAGCAGCCTGGCGCTCCCTGAGCTATGCAGGGCCAGAGCAAAGAGAGTATGGACGCCAGTCGGCCTCCCGGGTCACAAGTGAAGCTTCACCACCAGTGGCCCTGACTTAAATGTGCTTCTTCCGATGTTCTCTGCGGCCATTTAGCAGATCACGATCTGCAAGAGGCCTCCGGCTGAAAAGCGTACAGGGAGGAAGCCAGGGCCCAGTTCTCCCTTTACCTGTTTCCACAGCCAGCATCTAAAGAAAAGCACTTGAGGTTGCAGGATCCTGTTCCCACATCCTGGAGCCACAGAGAGTCCTCCACAGCATAGGTGTCCCTGGGAGGCAGGGAGTTTACAGAACACACAAGTGACAAAGGAGCCACCATTGAGCAGATCTGGTTTATGGGTGGCAGCTCCACAGTGACACTGTGAAGGTGGGGCTTGGTAGAAGCTGGCACGGGAAGCTTCACAGGAAACACCTCAGCCAGAGATGTCACTAACTCCTGGGAACTCTAAAGCAACATAAAGCACCGACATAACTGGACTGCTTTCCTGGAAGAGGAAAATGCCTACTTCACTGTGTTCAGGAGGAGCAGAGGACTTGAGGCCCTCGCAAAAGCCCATGCTCACAAAACCCCATGTCCAGGAAGTTACTGGAAGCTGAAGCTGTTCAACTTGTGCTGAGGGCAAACAGAGGTACAGGGATGGGCAAAAAGCCTTAGCGGCTGCTGGACATGAATTAAAAAGCCAGCAGCCACCCAGAGCTGGCCTTCGCGACTCATCTCACAGCTATGGCCCTGGGCCTACCCAGGATCTTTCCCTTTTACTTGAACTATCCCTGATAAATCCATATAAAATACTGAGGATACACATTTGCCATCAGCCCCTGCTACCAGCAAAGAGAAGCAGGCACATACTACTGGGTTCACCTCAAAGATACCTAGGGGCCAGTGCCACATGGGGACATGGGGTAGAACAGGATACACCCAGTCCAGGTCATGAGGAGCTTATAGTCAGTTGGGCATCACAAAGACAAAGGTGATTACCAGGTGCTGTACAGGGCAATGACTGGGACTTGGGAAAAGAGAAAAGGAATCCAAATGCTTCAGGAAGAAGCCAACCTGGCCTATTAAAAGTATATATAGGGTATATAGGGGCTGGAGAGATGGCTCAGTGGTCTAAAGCACCTACTTGGAACAAGCTTGGCAAAGCACAGGGACTGCGGTTCGATCCCCCAGCACCACATGCCAGCCAGCCGCGCCCCCTGGTGGGCTGAGCTGGCCACACACACACACACACACACTAAATAAATAAATGTTAAAAAAATTAAAAAAAAAAAGTATATATAAGAAGGCCAGGGAGATAGCTCAGCAGACTAAAGCACCTGCTTAGACAAGCTTAGGCAAGTACAGGGATCACGGTTCTATCCCTGGCACCACATGCCAAGCCAGCCCCAGCCTCAGGTCCGCTGAACCAGGCCAGAGCCGGGCATGGCGGCGCACACCTGTAATCCCAGTGCTGAGAGACGGAAAGCAGGAGGTTCACCACGAACCTGAGCTGCGTAGTGAGAACCTGAAACAACCAAATACATTTAAGAAAGCAAGTAAGCAAGCAAGCAGGCAGGCAGGCATGTACAGGGCTGGGGTATGGCGTGAAGCCTTGGGTTCCATCCCCAACACTCCAAAAAAAAAAAAGGAAAAAAGAAGAGAGAGAGAGAG